CCAAGTCGAACTATGTATCATAACTGGACCGAGAGTAACTCCTCTTTTTTTTTGGTTTCCAACCTGGTATCCGTACCCACATTGGGGCCCTTCCCTCTCGCCCAAATAAATGAAATGGGATGAATCAAATCAATAAGCTTTTTGATTGATTCAGGGCGCAGCAAATCCAAATTAAATCAAGAGCCTGTTCTGTCTTGCTTTCTGATTCAATTCAGCTGCTAGGGTGAGCTAACTCCAACAAACCCGTCCACAGTTCGGATTTCAGGCTGCAACTCGCCTGCATGAAGCCTGAGTCGCTAGTAATCGCGTCAGCCATAAGGCAGTGAATTCCTTCCAGGGCCTTGTACACACCGCCCTCTCCTTTTCTAGCTGCCCAGATTGCCGGAAAGTCCCACATTGGGGGTAAAGCGCTCCCTAACAAAGACGATTTCATACCCAAGGACTCGAACCCGAGATTTCTGGTTAAGGATGAAGGAGTATTTACCATTCCACCACAATCCTTGTTGGTGGACCGAGAGTAACTCATTTGCTTGGAAATGAATTCTTTTAAATCACATGATTTGATAATTGAGTATTTTCGTACGGAGACATATGTCACAACCACATGACATTCAGAGTACTTCAAAAATTATGTATTCTTTTTTCAAAGTACTTATACTTACAATGACCTCGATCCCACCTGGAAATTCTGTCTTATTGTAACTTAAGATAGTTTTTTAAGTTTCCAAATCTGATGAGGGTTATACCGATGCTAATACAAGAGGGAAGAAAAGTTGACCTTAATTAACCCCTCTATATATATTTTTTTTGTCATTGTAGGATGATATAATTATAGAATAATCAATTCCGGAAATAACTAAAATAACTATCTTTTGGCATCTCACTCCAAATGTTTTCCTTTTACCCCTTAAGAAAAACTAGTATTAGAACTCGCGCGATGCGCAGATCGTATTAAAAAATACTAATTATTTCAAATTGTAATATCTGTTATTTTGAGCATATTAGATTTTTTTATATATATATATATATATATACATACACACACAACTTACTCTTGGTACCTTTTTTTATTACTTTATTTTTTAATTTTCTAAGTTAATCAATAATATTTTTGTGTATTATGTACTTACTTCATTTTTTTATTAATTCAAAGTATAAATGTCCTCATATTATCGCTATCTCCTTATTTATACATTTTTCAAAACTATTGTGATATTTTTAATTGGTTTTTTGCATTTAAAATTTTTACCCTTAATATCATATTTAGTACTAATTTGTGATATTGGGTTTGTCCAAAGTAAAATCAAATTTGTTATTTTATTATAATATCTATTGATAATTTTTAATAATTTTTATTTTTGTATTATGTGCCATAACCAATTATCCATAGTTTGAGCATTCTCATCGTAGTTTTAAGAATTTTCTAATCTCAAATTCAAATAGTCTTTCCCTTTCATTTCTAGTAGTAAATTTTTAATAATTTAAAGTAATTTTGCTATTTTCTTTATTTAATATATAGTCTTATTACGTTTTATGTGACTTGTCATTAACTTGTAACTTTATTTAATATCATTATCAACTACTATTCTTTAATAAAATATAGATAAATAAATAACTTTTTTAATCAAAAAAATAAATACTTATTTATTTTTAAAAATATTGCTTGAAAATTTTAAATTATTTAAATTTTAGTAATATTTTTAACTATTGTACATTTACTTTATTTTATTTTCTAAACGTATGATTTATAAATATTCTCACATTATCTCTAATTTATTTTTATTATTCAATATTTTTAGTTTTTGATTTTATCTATTAGACTTGAGTTACGTGGACTTATCCATATTATGACTTTACTTATCACAATATAAAAAACTTTTTTATCTCAAATTTAAATTAGTTTAACCCTTTCTCTCTATGATAAAAAAATCTGAATTTTTATTTTTTCTCTATTTATTATTTATTTTTGATATTATATTATTCAATTCCTAATATTATTACATTGTCATGCGGATTTATATTAGCTTATTTGAATTTAATATCTATTTCTAGCACACACATTCTAATATAATATAGACAAAAATAATTCTTAATTTTTTGAACACAATATTTCTAAATATTGTAGTAATATTTTTATTGTCATTTTAGTTCTTTACGTAATATTTTAAAAAACAAAAAAATAATCTCATCTCAAATTCAAATAATTCTTATTATTTTATTTTCTAAAATGGACCACATTTTTAAAAAATTATGCTATGTATTCAAACTCATACTAACAGCACTGGATTCAGATATTAATCATAGAAAATATTTCTTAATTGTTTGAACATATTATATCTAAATGTTGTAATAATATTTTCATTATAATTTTATTTCTTTACATAAATTTTCTTTGTTTTTTAGTTTTAAGATACAAATTATTTTGTAAAATTACTTATATTAGAAATTTATTTTGTAATTTAAAATTTTATTTTTTATTATTGTTTTATTTTTCATAAATAAGATTCAATTTCGTGGTATTATCCATAATTTGAGCATTTACATCATAGTTTTAAGAACTTTCTAATCTCAAATTGAAATAGCCCTTTCTTTTAATTTATAATACTAAATTTCTAATAATTTAACATAATTTTACTATTTTTTAATCTAATATATAGTCTTATTACATTTTATGTGGCTTTTCATTAACTTGTAAATTTATTTAATATCATTATCAACTACTTTTCTTTAATAATATAAGATAAATATATAATTTTTTAAATTATGAAATAAATATTTATTTTGTTTTAAAAACATTAATCGAAATTTAAATTATTTAAAATTTAATAATATTTTTAAGTATTGTATATTTGTTTTATTTTATTTTCTAAACTTATATTCAATTTTTTTGTTTTTGATTTTAACTATTAGACTTGAGTTATGTGGACTTATATTATGACTTTGCTTAGTATAATATAAAAAAATTCTCATCTCAAATTTAAATAAGTTTTACCCTTTTTCCTATGATAAAAAAACTGAATTTTTATTTTTTTTCTCTATTTATTCTTTATTTTTTATTTTATATTATTCAATACCTAATATTATTACACTGTCATGTGAATTTTTATTAGCCTGTTTGAACTTAGTATCTATTTTTACCACACTCATTCTAATACAATATAGATGAAATTTTAAAAACTTTCTCATCTCAAATTCAAATAATTTTTTTCATTCTATTTTCTTAATTGGACTATATTTCAAAAAATTATGTTATTCTTTCAAATTTAAACTAATTGAACTTAATTCAAAAATAATCATAGAAAAATATTTTCTTAATTGTTCGAACGCATTATATCTAAATGTTTTAGTAATATTTACGTATAAAATATTCGTTTGCATGATTTATCAGTATTAATATAAATTTATTATTCTTGTTATTAAAATATATTTTGTTAATTATTTGTTTCTTCTCTTACCTTATAAATAATTTGTATACTTTATGTAAGATCTTATTTTGCTGCTTGAAATTATTTAATTTTTAAACTCAATAAATCCTTAATATCTTAAGTAAATTTTAGTTTTATTTTATATTTTAACTTACTCCAAAGTATAAATAGTTATAGGTTATCTCAATTTACATCTTTATATATTTTTATTTTTTTCTATTATAGTTTTTAATTAATTTTTCACCTCCATATTTCTAGCTAATATAGAAAAAAATCTATGAGTAGATCAATATATAGATATAGATATAGATACAAATATGCATATACATTTAATTATAGATATATAGATTAGATTTGTCTAAGATATATTTAGATTATGTATAAGATTCATTAAACTACTTCCATTAATTATGTTTATATATATAATTTTTAGTTATTAATGTTGTCCTAAAATTGTCAAGTGGTTTCATTTCAGTTTGTCACTTGCCTTAACCACAATGTATACTACTTTCATTTTAATATAATATAGAAGATATATAAGACTAGAAATTATCCGTAACGAAACAAACAAACAAAAAAAGAAAATCATATCTGAAAAAAATAGGAAGTGAGAAAATAATTTGAAAAGGAAGGCAAAACCGTAGGAGCAACAAAGTAGATATGAAAAGACTGAATCTCTATTTTCTTGAAAAGGAAAATGAGCAGAAAAGTTGAGACAGAATGTTGGAAATAGAAACAAGTACCATTAAATCTTTTTGTTGTTGAAACTTGCGACCTTCCTTGAACAGTGAAAGCCATGTTTCTTCCACCAGGCAAATTTTTACCTATCAAATACTACACCAATTCAAAGTCTGTACAATAATAGAAAAAGAAATGTACATTATTCGTCTCATATTATTGTTATCGTAGTTAATAAAAATAGTTATTTTTAATTATTTATCACTTTTAAAGTTCGAAATAAAATTGATTATCCATAACATTGTCATGAAATATGTCTTTTTACTTTGAAATCTGACAAGTAAGGGTTGCACAGTTCAGTTGGTAAAGTACCCTCACCCATAACCGTTAGGTCTTGGGTTCGAGTCACTTAACATGTGGTCAAAAACATGTATAAAATCTATATATATTTTGTATATATATACATTATGTAGTTATATACAAATTTTATATACTTTTATTGCTACCAGATATAAATAATTTATGGCGGGAGTTAATAGTGATAATACCCCTTCTTATATTGACTGTTTTTTAATAACTTTGAATATGTATCTATTTTATTTTACAATTAAAAAATGTGAAAATGGCTATTTTAGAACTTCACCATAGAAAAGGGTCCTCTTTGCCATAATGAGAACCAACATAGAGCCGTAAAACCCAATGGGCTTTGGCCCCCACCTTGTCCTTATTCCTCTCATACACCTAAGTCGAAAATACCCGTGTTCTGTCCTTTGCAGTTTGCTGTCACATATTATAGTATTTTAAAATAAAAAGAAGAAAAAACTAAAAAGTAAAAAACTTTTGGTATTTCCTCAATAAATAGTTTCACATCCTATAGCCCAAACACCACCACTTCTTTACTACTATCTCTTTCTTTCATCTTCTTTCTTGTTAAAGCTCTCAACTTTCTTTATATTTCATCAAAAAAAAAAATTACAAAAATGGCCATTAGAAAATCAAACAAGTTATCACAAGCTACAGTCTTGAAACAAATTTTGAAGAGGTGTTCAAGTTTGGGTAAGAAGCAAGGCTATGACAACGAAGATTATTGCCTTCCCATTGACGTACCAAAAGGACATTTTGCAGTTTACGTGGGAGAGAATCGAACTCGATACGTCGTACCAATTTCTTTCTTAACTCACCCTCAGTTTCAATGCCTCCTCCAACAGGCCGAGGAAGAATTTGGATTTGATCACGACATGGGTATTACCATTCCCTGTGAAGAAATGGTTTTTCAATCACTGACTTCTATGATCCGGTGCTGAAGTATTTAGAAAAAGGGCAGCCTGGTGCATTAAGCTCCCGCTATGTGCGGGGTCCGGAAAAGGATCGGATCGCAAGGATTTATTGTACACAGTCCCATCGGCAGCAGCTTTACCAGTTACACCAAAACTACTTTTCTTGGTGTATTTAGAAAAGAAAAGAAAAAAAAAAGTGAATATTAGGGGTTAGTTCTTTTTTGGGATTAAGAAGGATGGCTCAAGATGAAGCAATTTGGTGTTTTTTTGCTTCTCTTTTTTCTAACATCTTTCTTCACTCTATTTTTTATTTTATTTTTTGGTTTTTTTATTTTTTTGGGTTAGGGGTATTTTCTTGTATTGTAACTTTCCTCTAATTCCTGACCTAGGAACCACATGATATTATTAGTAGTGTTTTTTATGGGTCAGAATCAGATTTGTAAACAAATCTTGGAAATTTTTCCTTGTAGTGGTGCTTATTTTGCGCCCTGTGAGAGAAGTGAATGTATCTCAATCGATTTGCCTTTTATGGATACAAATGTCTCAGTCTATTTGCATTTTTAGTGCAGCTTCAATACTTCTTCTTCCGTCTCATATTATCTGTTATGATTCTTTTGTGCACGTCCTTAAGAAAAATTAATTAGAATGAGATTTTGACTACTTTACGTCTATCATGTCTTAATATTAAATCTTTCTTCATTGATATTTGAACAAAGTTAGGTGTTTGTAGTCTTTAAAAATAACTAGAGTAAACAAAAAAAATAGATAATCAATTTTATTTTGAACTTCTAAAGTAACAAAAAATTTGAGACAATTATTTTTAGTAATCATAACTCATAATATGAGACGGATGTGGTACTATTTATTTAGGTTAATTCTAATTGAGCATAATAAAATAATGGCCTGATTTGTGATCACTAGCCATTATAGTGCCCATGTTATGTTCTCCAAATTTCTTAGTCAAAGTAGATGACAATAGTCCAAATATAAAGAAGTAAATACACAAAAAAATTTAAGCGAATACAACATTTGAAAATTTTAAAAAATAAATACTGAATCTATAAGTTTTGATACTATCGAATCACATTGAACGTCAATCTATAAAATTGTACATATGCAATAAACTGTCAAAAACATAAGTACCAATTTATGTATTTTATTTTAGGCTAAATAAAATTCTTTTTATATTGAGTGTACAGACAAGGTAAAACCGTCCTAGCTTCTACATGTACTGACTTGTCCTAGTTCCTAAATTACTGACTTCTATTATATAGTATTAAATGATAGGGGTTCGAATTGGTGGTATTTATTACTAGCGGTGACAAATTAGATGAATTGACATTCTAAGGCTCCTAGCTAGTCCTAAACATGATTAAATTAATAAAAATGCATTTCTCTAATAATTAAACTCTTACATGAATTTGTTACCTAATTTAATAAATATTAAAGAATTAACATAAATAATCGTTCTCTCAATCGCGTAAACTAAAAATAGGCTTATATATAGGTCATTCTCAATTTTTGTTAAGACGCTATAATGAGACTAAATGGGTTATCGGCAGAACCAGGGGCGGATGCACCTTTATTGAAGTGGTGTCACGCGACACCGCTTCGTCAATTTTTTTTACTAAATATATGTATTAATATTGTGAGGAAGCGAATAAGTAGGAAAATATGACACTATTTTAGATAAATTGTCTCTTGGCGCATTGGTCTCGGGACTTTTTTTAACTTAAAACTCAACAAAACTAATAAACTAAAGTTATTTCTTGTTTAGAACTATGATAATTAAAGTTATTATTACTATTTTTCTATTAATTTTCGACACAGGTTATAAAAATTTCTACGTGCGTTCCTGTGCAGAACCATTTTGATAAAGCAAACCAAACAGATTAATAAGAGTTATTAATGCAATGTGTATATTTTATTATTCTTTCGATTGCGATCTTAAAATTTTACAGCCTAACAAACCCAGATTTCTGCGTCTCGCACCAACAATAATTTTTTTATATCAAAACAAGGACAATACTTCTTGTCATTGGTTTTATCGTATATTACTGTGGTTACTAAATTAATGTTGATTCCGTACAGCTGAATTATCCTTTAATATTTCAAGTGCAAACAAGTGGGTACTTTTATCAAGTATTAACCTCATTTTTCTATATTCAAAAAAAAAAAAAATGCTACTCCGTAATGACTGGTAATTTACTGTACGTGGCATCATAGATATATTCTTTCGAGGAGTGTATAATTATTAATATTTATAAAGTAGGAGTTGTTTTTATTCACCAACTTAATTTATTTGCATTTTTGTCACATCGTAAACATCAAATTTCCTCTGTACTTCCGTTTTGCAAGAACAACCCATCGATTCAAATATTATTAGAATAATCCTAAACAGCAAGTTGTTAGCACCCTAAGTACTCTTGAGTAAAAACCACATAACCTTATTCTTTACAAATTCGTCGGTTTCAATTCATAAATAAAGAAAATAAAATGCCCACATAATCTTAATTTGAACAATTGATTCCGTACGGCCGAATTATTCCAAGTGCAAATAAGGAGGGGTGAATGACAGGTAATTTCTTGTAAATGGCATCAATTCTTTCGAGGCATTAACTAATGAAACTGATTAAAATATTGTATTAGTATCGTCCAAGTATCAAGGCGTTGGCTGCCTATCTCTTGATCAACAAAGTCCATATAATAATCTGTTTATTTTTCTTTTACAAATACAGTTTCATCAGAAACAAAGATAATTAAGAATGTGGAAAATTTGAAAATGAAGGCGCCAAAGGAAATATGTACATAATCTCACAGAATAAATGGGCTTATTTAATTGTATTAAATATTTCAACTCCACCTAGAAATTACCCAACTTTCCAAAAGTTTGCCTAGAAGTTGGACTACACTTAACCCAAAATAGTTGTTTGATAAAACAAACTAGAATGACATACAAATACTAGAACTAAGGGAACTAATTGTGTTAGTTCAATATCTCATAGATTCTAATCCCTTGAAAACTCCTTCATTTTCTTATTGTGATACCACAAAATAATCATACAAAAAGGATTAAAGATTCAGTGTCTTCCTCCTTAAATAACTTCACACATATCCCTCTTAAATAGCTTCCAATATGCTCCGGTAGTGAAGTATTTGATTTGAGATTCATCTGTAATTACCTTAACATGATATGATTATGTAAATATTTTTTATATCGTATATTGAGCTTAAACTCTCTCTTTTTCTACGCTGAACTTTTCACTTAAAGATAAGATAGGTTTTGTAGTTTTGTATCCTTGCACGTTATTTCTACTGATATGCGCATGTTATCGTTGATTATAATTTATAAATAGCATATTTTTTCTTTCGGATTTGAAAATTTTCTCAAATTAAAATTTCAAAATTCTATACCAAATTTCAAGAATTTCGTCAAGAATCTAAACATACTCTAGTTCTCAATAATCGAATTAATTAACGGCTCTTATGTAATGAGAAAAACCAAGAAAGAGAGGAGAATTTAAAATATGAGCTAAGCTATTATAGCGAGTTAGACAGATTATAGCGAGTTAGACAGATTACTAATGGTTTGATTTAATTTGTCACCTCTAGAACAAACCATGCAGATTAACAAAAATGCTAAAATCACAAAACACTTCCAATCATATAGGATATAAATCATGCAAATACGTAACGTTTATCGTGCTGCATGTATATGAATTCTTGAAGGATAAACCCTATAAAAATAAATTAAAATATGAGCTAAGCTATTATTCATGACACTTGGGGACCAGCACAAAAAGTAAAGGGTTGCTCAATAATAATACTGAGCTATCAAAGCAGTTCGGAGCTAGAGTTTAGGTTTGAATTTAGTAATTTTAGTTTAAATTTTGTATTTATTTTAATAAATTCATTAAATATATATAAATTATATTATATTAGAACGAGTAATTTAAAAGAACTAGCTACTCCCATATCGGTTATAAATTTTAAATCTTGAATTTGTAATCTTCAAATTTTGGATCCGTCTATGCAATTGGTCCTATCTTGATCTCTTTCTCTCTCATTATAATGAACTTGTACCCCCACCAATTAGTGATCTTCGTTACCTTTTCTTTGGGTCATCCTTCTTTTTGTTTCAGCCACAAAGTTTCTGACAGTAACAACTTTTTTTCATAACATAAAACAATAACAAAAACAATCCGGTATAATTTTACTACTGGATTCTGGGGACGGTAGTGTGTACGCAGACCTTACCCCTACTCTGGGGGTAAAGAGGCGTTGTTTTTAATAGACCCTCGGCATCCTTCCCTCCAAGAACTCTCCACCTTGCTCTTGGGGTGACTCGAACTCACAACCTCTTGGTTGGAAATGGAGAGTGCTTACTGTCATAGCAACCCACCTTGTCATAAATGTAACTGAAAAATTACCTAGCTTCTCTTGCATTTTTCACAACATAAATGTAACTGAAAATTAGCTAGCCTCTCTTGCATGGAATTGCCTTCTTGTTGTGCCCACAAATATATATTGGGAATGATATCTTTTCTGCTTCAACAACTATTGATTGCTACTAACAGAGTTCCATCTTCCTCTTAAAAATATCTTCACTAACATCATTGGTCAATGCCAGAGGTGGATGGAACTTATGAATATACCTATACTTGTTAAATTCAACTGAACTCAGTATTTTCATACTCGAAATATAAATACATATGAAAAATCATTAAATTTTAACAAATATTAGCCCATCATCTAAAGTTTATAAAGAGCTTAATGCTAAAAAAATTAAAGGTTAAAGTATCAAATTTAAATTATAAATCCGCTTTGAGTAATTGTTGGAAAAAACTAATTCAAATTTGTAGTAGGAAATCTTAGTTATTTAGGATTTGGTTTATTTAATTCATGTCTAAATAGGATTCGCAGTTAGAATAAGTATAAGAATAAACTTTTCCGTTTCTAGTTGAAATAGGTTTCATAGTATTATAAATATGGGTATTAATAACTTATTTTATATGTGGAGATCTGTGTGGAGGAAATAAAGAATTGCAGAGAGCTTTCGGAGAAATTAATAATAAAATATTTTCCTTCAGTAATGCATGGCCCTCTTTCTTTTTCATCATTCATTTCTTCTTTTTTCCTTTTCTCCCTAACTTACAGTACTAGATTTATTGCTTGGGTCTTGTGTGTCTGGACCATTTATTCATGGCTAACATATGAAGTTCAAATATTGCTTGATTTGCTTCTAGCTAAGGCTAATCATTTGATTGAATTTGTTGTACTTCAGTTGGAAGATAATAGATTCCTCATCTCTCAGGATAAAAATAAAGTTTAAAATGATAAAACAATCGAGCTGAGCCTCTACAAAGTGAGATAAAAGTATCTTCTTTGATAAGAAAGAAACATATTTTAGGTGCAATATTTTCTATGTATATAGGTCACCAGGGGCGGATCTACCAGGTAAAACATGGTTCACGTGAATCCGTGATACTCGGGTTAAAGTATAGATATGATGTACATAATTATGCAAAAATAGATATAT